TCACAATTGTAACTGGTGGGATAATGTGTATACTGAATTAACATACTTCTGCAGTATTAAAAAATGTTATATCTTAGCCCAGCTATTTTAAACTGTTTGATCACATTCTAGGGTTACTATTATGCATAAAAAACCCTTATACAACATTGATAGGAATACTGAGATCAAATACAAAAAAATACAACCATCAACGTATTTCAAAATTGTTACTTTTTTGTAACATATATCATCATAATATTTTATATTAGTGCTACCGGTATTACAACATTAATATTCTAACTGATTTGTAACATTTTAATTTTGATTTAGTCCAATATTTTGTACTGCCATTAGGGACTGCCAGTGAATGGCTGTTGCATGCATAAACTGCAACTTTTTTTTATTCTGACAGTGTATGATTTCTATTAACATTACAGAATAGAACATGATCAATATTGTCTTTTAACGTTCAGTTTAAATAATTGTAATTGCACAAACTATGTAGGCTACCATTTCAATTTGTTTATTCTGAAATAAATCAAACATTTATGTTTTTATTTCTGTCCTCTGATAAGCATTGTTCAGGGCTGCCATTCCCAAAAGCTTTAATGCTTTCTTATGATACTTTTGGGAAACGCAGCCCTGTTTGAATGCACTGTCAGCAGTGAGTGAATGCTCTCTGTGATTGATTGGTTCTGTCCTGCAACATTTGCGTGTGTTCAGATGAGCAGGAAAATAGTTCTATCCTACACGATTACTCGCTAACAAAAGTTATTCGTCCAATTCAATGCATATTGTACGCATTATTATTATTATTATTTTTGTTAAATAAACAAACCCACTGGTAAATAAAACGCACCTTAGTATCGCTATTTTTTGAGTATTGATACTTTCGATACTCGCGTCAGTATCGATATACGCCCATCCCTACCCCACCCCTGCAACTCTATGACATATGCACATATGTGCTATACAGAAAATTCCACCAATCAGAGAGTTGGTGTAAGCTTTGCAAGATAGATCTTTAGCTCTGCCCATTCCCACGAAGAACTGCGAATGACAATATCATCTCCCTACTCTCAAAATACTAAAATATTTGTATATATATATGCATATTTTCCAGTGTTCTATGTTGATTCAGGCTAATTGCTGCTGTCGTCCTGTAGTGTCCCCTCCTCTTATAATGTCTCTTGATATTAGTAATTAAATATTGAGTATTTTATGTTTCAGTTATTTTGTATATTTTCCTTTATTAGCAGAAATCAAGCTTTGTGTGTCACCAAGCAACACACAGACTGAAAGCCGGTCTGAAGCTGCATATAGGAGAGAAACAGAACGACAGAGACTTCCCTTTCCTTTTTATTCTGTTATCCCTCCACTCCAGCTCCCTGCTGACTTATGAGAGAAACCCCTCTATGAGCAGTGTTGGGGAGTAACTAGTTACATGTAACGGAATTACGTAATTTAATTACAAAATAAAAGTAATTTTAATCAGTTACAGTTACTAAGAAAAAATGTGTAATTAAATTAGTTACTTATGAAAATTATTACAAAGGGGGTTACATCTGATTTTTTCACACACACTCCCACATACAGATTTAATTGAGTTCTTCCATAAATTGCAGTGACTGCTCTAACATATGAAACACCAATGTTTCAGAAGTTTATAACATGCTTATCCGATAGGGTTTATGTATATGCTTAATTTTTTTAAGATTGACTATTATTTTTTTATTTTTTATTTTTTTCATTCATTGTTAGATTCCAGTGTTTCCTGTCATAGCTATGCAAAGATTTGATTTCAAAAACAGTATCATAGCTATTAAACTATTTCTTGTTATGATTTTAAATATGTATTTAACCACAGAATGATTTTAACGTAAGTCTGTTTTTTTGGTGGCTGTGCTTCAGATGCCCATTTTCCACAAGTTGGTATGATTCTTTAGGGTATTCTTGAAATGGTCTCAGTGGTCGTGTAAAACAACACCCTTTTTACCTTGTCAAAAACAGCTCTGTTCACAGCGACTCGTTTTGGTGCATATCTCTTTACATGCTAATGAGCTTTGTTCACCCCGCCCCTCTCTTCTGTGGAAGAGCAAACATGATTCACAAATAATCATAAAAATTAAAATGTGTGTCGGCACCGAAAGCCTTGTGGGCAGTGCGCTGACATACAGCGCCATTGTGCTTTGGATGTCCTGTGTTCAAATCCTGACTTAAGGACCTTCCTGATCCTGCCCCCCTCCTCTCTTTCTCCCACTTCACTTCCTGTCATGTCTGATCTGTCCTATCACAATAAAGGAAGGTCATAAATAAAAAGTGTGAGACTTACTTCTTCTGGAGGTACAGCTGGATCATGAACAATGGGTACTGATCCATCCTTGAGTTTTAACTTTTTAACAAAACCTGCCTTGAATTGTCTCTCATTCAGAAAGCAGTCAGGAGTGAAATGATTTGAGTAGCCAGACATAAACAAATTTAGTGAAAGTGAAGTGAAGTGACGTGTGGCCAAGTATGGCGACCCATACTCGGAATCTGTGCTCTGCATTTAACCCATCCAAGTGCACACACACAGCAGTGAAACACACACACACACCGTAAAAAACACACCAACAAAGTTGGGGGTTTGGTGCCTTGCTCAAGGGTCTCACCTCAGTCGTGGTATTGAAGGTGGAAGAGAGTGCTGGTATTCACTCCAAAATCAAAATGGCTTGATAATTGAGACTGTTTAGGTTTTTGGGGGATTAAAAAAAAAGGAATGCATTTTTATCATTGTAGGGTGGTTGTGTCCACACACTGCTAAGACACATTTATATGCAAATGAAGATATTTTGCATCCAATGTCTCCTTTAAAATTAAAATATTATAATCTTAATTCAAGTGATGAAGGATTTTGTAAGTCTGACAGTTATCAGTGTTGAGCACATATTGTAAGTTTAACCCTGCCTGGTTTACATGTTTGAAAATGATTAACAGTTGAAAACATTAGAAATTTAGAAAAGTAATCAAAACGTAATCAAATGTAATCAGTTACATTACTTTAATAAAGTAATTGAAAAGTTACACTACTTATTACATTTTAAGTAGGGTAACTTGTAATCTGTAACCTATTACATTTCCAAAGTAACCTTCCCAACACTGTCTACAAGCAAACCTGAAGTCAGAAAAAACTGTTAAACATGCCAACGCTGTTTTAATAAATTATTCTAAATATATGCTGCTTGGCAGTATAATATGGTACAGTGTATGAGTTAGTACAGTGCAGGTGTAGGCTATGTGTTAATGGAAATGCAGTTACAATTTCTGCACCATTGAACATTCAAATATGTCAGAAGAAGTATTATTTTTTTTCATTATCATATTCAAATCTGTCAGTGTTTGTGAATGTAGTTTTGTGTACTCTTAGAGGTGCTTGCAATCACAGAGAGTGATAAAAGACATCTGTCCCCGCGGAGCCCACAGCATCAAAGCCTAATTATCCCACCGCAGTCATGCATGCATACTGCTGCCTGCACCATAGGAACAGGGAACAGAGCATTGGGAAAAGTAATGCTCACTTACCGCAGGGATCCCAGGAACTCTGCAGTAATTACTGCGTCCTCACTGCCAAATATGTGTAAGCACCCAGCCCATGCGACACGCCAAAAGCTTTAATGCCAATTACAATCGTTTGACGGAAATGGCTCAACTAGGGCTAGATTAATTAAAAATCCACACACTTAATCACATTTCGCATGTCCCACAGAGCTAGTGGCTTATGAGGACCGTCTTTACGGTCAGGACATCTGAACACTAACCTTGATTATTTGAATAAGCAGATGCTTAAGTTAATTCCATATTCAGTCAAATGTGATGACTGATACTGATAGGTCTGACTGAGAGTTTCCTGACCTTGTCCAACAAAACTAGTAGACTTAGTAAGAGCTTTACAGTTCAGTTCTACAGTTCAATCTGGATCAACAAACAGCTGGTGTTTGCAACTTGCATTTATTGAAGTTCCCAACGCAGTTTCGGACACATGTTTCAAATTCATCCAGTTTTGTCAATCATCTCTACGACTGTATAAGCAGCAGTCATTGCTCTGTTCCTGCGACAGTTCTTCCGGCATCCCTCCATCTCCCCTTCTCCTCCTCTA